TATCATGTATAATTAAAATTATAATATTAATCATATTTGTCATTAAATAAATAATGTTATATATATATATATATTATTTTTTAAATCGTAAAAAAAACTATAAAAATAATAACAAAATTCAAGTACTTATAGTCAATTGAAGTTTATTAAACCTCTAGGGTTAGTCTAGCGGTTGGGTGGAAAATGATTGAGATAGTTAGAAGCATGGAGATCTAAATTTAATCATCATTGTAATCATTTTGTATTCTTTCTTATTTTTACCAAAATAAAATTGAAGTTTATTAGGTGTCTATGAGTAGGTGACATTGCCCCCAAGAATATTTTTAATTTATATTTTAATAAGATTTTATATTAACTTATAAATAATAATAAAAGAGATAGTCTTTTGTCATATACATATTTAAAATAATTTTATCTTTATAATTATTTGAAAAATTACTCTTTATCTCTTAACCTTTTTTTTTTAATTTAGTTTGAATTTTTTTATATCTTTTTTACTTTTTAAAACTGTTTAAAAACTACTATTACAGTTAGAACTATTCAATAAATCTTCATTATCTGATTGTAAACTTTCACTTTTATTTTATTTTAAAAAAAATACAGATAGACATAGATTGACTTTCTTATGCTAGTATGAATAATGCCGTCAGATTAATTAAGGAGTTGGAGTAGGCACGCACAAACTAATAACTGCACCTCTGGGAGACGAATTTTGATGATTAAACTGGATTAATGATGATTCTTCATAAGAAAACGGGGGTAGAAAATCTACCTAGCTCGGGGCATTTAAAAGTTGTCCCTGTTGTGACTATTCAATTGCAAAAGTATTTTTTGCGAGAAAGTGTCGTTAAAATAATATTTATCTTTCCTTGATTAATTTATTTTCATAAACATTTGAACACATTATCCCATTTGGAAAAGTACTTGCTTGAAGGCCAAAACATTGGAGAGAAAGCTACTACCGTGGTCCTTGTTAGGTCTTTCTTATTATGCAGATGGATGCATGGTGTCATGGTGAGACTTTTTTGTTTATTAATTATATATTTTGGATACTCCGCGCTAAGAAAAAATGCTAATACATATCTGTTATTATTTCTTTACAACATTTTGTGAGTACGTATCAAAAAATTTAATTAATAAAAGGTGTTACCGTCAATTTTGCTACAATTAATCATTTGCATGTTCTTAATTGGGAGAAAGCAATGGAAATATGGATCATTTCAATGAATATAAGGATGTGCATTAGCATTATGTAAATCTCACGTTGAAGGTAAAAAATGAGGATTCCTCTTTGGATATAGATGTCAAAGTGACTTAAGTTATTCATGTCAGCTTTATATCAAGGTTTAAAGTAAGCTAGTTCAACCTCACTTACTTTTTAGTGAGTCAATTTTTTTTAACCTGACTTGATCAAGGTTAGGTGAGTTATCAAATTTTTAAAATAAAAAAAGGAAAATTAATATCATTTTTCTCTGTCTTTCTTTCTTTTTTATACAAGTCACATTTTTCAATTAAGTCATTAAATGAATCAAATGACAAATACAAAATAATATAATTTAAATAAAGTGATCTAAATTAATGACACCACTTAAGTATTTAATATTATCATTAAAGTAATCCAAATGAGTGATATAATAAAATCATTCAAATATCAATATCAAAATACAACATCATTCAAATGATAGTATGAGTTTTTTTTTTTTTTTTAAATTCAATGAGTTAAATAAGTCAACATGATCAAATCAACTTAAATTGTGAATTAAGAGAATCAATTACTATTAAATCAAAATATGTGATGATCTGAATTTTTCTAGCCTGATCGAACTTGAACTGTGATCAATTTAGGCTAGATCGTATTACTTTTGACTTAATTTGACATCTTTAATTTTGGATAATGCGACTCACAAAGTTTATAGGATAAATTTAAATAATGTATTTGTTTTCCTTTGTGTTCATATTTTTCCTCACTCCAACAGAAAAATTACGCTTAAATAAAAAATAACAATAAAGAAATTTTTACTGTTCAGCTCCACATCATTCATCTGCTGGAAACACAAAAAGGGGTTAGAAAACAACGGCAAGTGATTTCTACCCGTAATGGGTAAAAGAATTAGGCATTCTAAAAAACGACAACTGATGGTAATGATTTATAATTACCAATGGGCCTTACGTTGTAATGAATGGGCCTTATGTTTATTTTTTCCATAATTTCTTTGGATCAAAACCAATCCAGTGGACCTCACACTGATTATGGTACATCTTTACATCATGAGAAGTGTATAGTATCTGTATCTCAGAATCATTTACCAGTCACGTTAATATGTTGCTTAACATGCTGCTTCACATTGATCTATCATTTGTCTTTGTACTCGTGCGATGTACGGGGTCTTATTAAAAATAGGTGAGAAATTAAAAAAAACAGTCTCTTTGGTATAAAAATATCCATCAGCATAGAAATAAAAACGTATCAATCTTATTCTTTTTTATTTCTTCGCAAATCAACAAGTCAACATGAAAAGACACAATTTTTTTTTTCAAGAATGCCCAGTTTTATCTTTTAAGCATGTTTGAGTTCGATTCTCGGTAAAAATAAATTTTAACTAGATTTTTATTTATCTTTTAATTAAACTAGATTATATTACGACAAAATTTTAAGATATTAGTGTAAAATTTTAAAAAATCAAATAATTTGTCTCTTATTAAAAATAAAATTCTTGTTGGTTAAAAAATGAAAGGCTGTTAAGATACATATTTTGCAAATGTGTTGCAATTAATTATGGCGAACCAACATTTACAACTTCAAAAGCCAAAATCTACTTACATATATATTGAGATGAGCCTCAAGGAAATATGGTCATTCCAAAAGATATGGTTATTGTCAAACAATTGAACACTCAAGAAAAAAATGTTTACAATTTCAACAATTACGATATTTTTTTTAATATAATTTGTGTTTGAATAATAAAAAAAAAACAAAAATCATGTATTTTTTTGGTATTATATTATTTAAATTTAATACAAAATTTTAATTTTGTATTTATTTTCTATTTTTCTTAAACTAAGCAATCAAATTTCTATTTTATTTTTTATTTATTTATACTCATTTATTTTTCTCTTTTCTAATTTTCACTTATTTTTCCCCTCTCTATCAAATACATTTGAAAGCAAAAATAACATAATTTTAATTTACCATTATATTATATATATATATATTTATTTATTTATTTATTTATTTCATAACTCAAAAGTGATTTCAACTTTAATGGATTTATATAAATTTTTATGTTTAAAGTTTAATTTTTTTAACTAATCATTGAAAATTAAGGTGTTTACTCTTTATAAGAGCAAATTAAGATTTAAATTTATACATTTAGCTTAAATAAAAATTTAATCTCTTAAAAATAATATTATTTTAATTTGAATATTCTTGTTTATAGTTGTTTTTATTTTAGTCATCTCGAATTTTAATTATTTATTTTGATCCTTTCTATTTTGATCTCTACAATTTTTTTCAATTTTCTATTTTAGGTCCCAAAAAAAAATATTTTCTTCAATTAGATTTAACCGTCAACCTAATAGTAAAGATACGAATGAAATACAAAAAATGCAAGGATGAAATTGAATTTTTTTTTACTCCATTCGTTACATAATAAATGTCGTTGTAAGTTATTTTACACAACAAGAACAATTAATAAATAAATAAATAAAAGAAAATAATGATTTTATAAAATTAATCTTATGATTAATATTTTTTTATAAAAATGATAAAACATAATAACTACTTTTCAAATAATATTATTAATGGTATAAATGAAAAAAAAAAAAAAAGGTAATTAATACTCTTCCTCCATCTCATAGTAAGTGTCATCCTAAGTTATTTTAAAGGATTAAAAAATTAATAAATAGATAAAAAATAATTTTATAAAAATTAATCTTGTGATTATTTTTTTTTTGCCAGGCACAGTACATCACAAAATTCATTTTTTACATTTAGAAGGTTCTTGATATATAAATCTCATTTTTTTATAAGGCCACCTCCTTTATTTTTTTAAAATAAAATTCTCAAAATACACTTAATCTTTTTTTTTATTTTTTAATTTCTTAATTTTATATCTCCAACTTTCACTTTAGCATTTTTTTTTCACACATCTTCCATTTCTCTTTCAATTTTTACATGCACCCCTCATATTTTAGTAGGTAGTTTTAATTCTTTAAATCTTCACATTATATTATTTTTTTCTTACCTCTTTTAGTTTACACATGTCCTTAAATCATAGAACTAGTACGCGATGACGTTACAGCCATTAGGGACGGAGCCAGGATTTCAATACTGGGGGTGCCATATAGGGGGTGCCATATAGTAATATACATATGAGTTTATATTAAAAATATGAGTTTATATTAAAAATAGGGGGTGCCATATAGTAATATATATGTATATAAAAAAAAATTAAAATTGTTGGGGGGGCCGTGGCACCCGTAGGTCCCCCCTTGGCTCCGTCCTTGCAGCCATATGCGACTTCCTTTAAAGTTTCAAAAAGTATCGAACTAAATGCTTATATTTTTTTCAAAAATTTTCTTCCCTTTCTCAATTCAAGAAACCCTAACATTAAATTTAATATTTAAAATAATATTTTTCAGAACAATAATTTCAATATTTCGAAAAGTACTTTCCAGAATAGTAAAATTAGTGTTCTAAAAAATATTTTCTGAAATTGTATTTTTACATATTTTTGAAATACTAAATTTATTGTCTTGGAATGAAGTTTATGGAATTATGTAAAATAATATACTTTCAAAAAGTACTTTTAGGACTCTAAATTACTTTTCGAATTAGTAAAATTAATGCTCATCTCGGATGGTTTTTATAATTTTGAAAAGTTTCTTATAAAACAATAAATTTAATGTTTCAAAATATATTTTTTGAAAGTATGTTAGAAAATAATTCTGAAAAATAATTTTTGGAACATTAGTTTCACTATTTCATAAAGTATTTTTTGAAAACACTAAAATTATGTGAAACACTAAACTTGGTGTTGTGTTTTCTAAACATGTAAATGAGGAAAGTACTCAAAGAAAAAATACACATTTGACTCAAAATTTTTGACACTATTGGGGAACCGCACACGTCTATAACACTGTCGAACACCAAATTTATATTTCGAATACATGTGAAAACTAAAAGAAAAAGAGAGGGAGGGTAATGGCGAGAAAATTTAAAGGGAAGATAGTAATATAAAAGTCAAAAAAATTAAAATTACCTACTAAAATAAGTGAAAAATGGGGAGAAGACAATGACTATATGTGAAAATTGAAAAGTTGAGAGAAAGAAATGTGTGAAAAAGAAGGAGAAAATGTTAAATTGAAAGTTAGAGATAAAAATTAAAAAAAAATAAAAATATTTGAGTTTATTTATTTTTTAGAAAAGGAAAAGAGATATACTTATTAAATAAATAATATATCATGAACCTTATTAAAGTAGTATAAATGAAAAAAATGGATAATTAATTTTGCATTGAACGACTAATATGATGTTTATTTAAGAATTTATTTTATATTCTAATATATCACTTATTATAGAATAAAAAAATTGAAAAACTAAATAACACTTATCTTAGAAGTTATTTTTTCTTTAAACAAGGTAATTATTATGAGATATAAAGTGAAAAGGCTAAAAGAAAACTATTAACATGTGTTTGACCTACGTATTTGGGTATTGAGTATTCGAAATTAGAAAAATAATTTGACAACAGCCCCTTTAATAATGTATTCATAAATGTCATAATATAATGAAAAAAGGTGGGCTAGCCTAGGACCTATAGGCACATCAAAGCTAACGACCTAACGTTAAGGCAAAGGCAAAGAAGGAAAGCAAGCAATTAAATAAGTCTACAAACTTGGTAGGACCCTTGAGTGCTAGAACTTATCAACTGATTCAATTCCACACCCACCCATTTTGACTTTGGCATAGGTTTTCCCACAAGAGTAAGAGGATTTGTAGATCACGCAACCCTCTCTCCAAGTGTGCCAAAATCCCATCCAATCTTTATCCTAGAAGCCAAAACGGTCCAAACAAAAATTGCATTAAAAACTCTCTTCATTCACTCACTATAATTTGCCGTCCCAACTGGCATCTGCCAAGTGCCAACCACTCTCTCTTTTAGTCAACCGTCTTTAACACGACATGTCCGTCCTCTTCCCTTCACTTCTTTGACTCCGTCTCTTTCATTCAAACCCCCCATTCATCTTCAAGATAAGCACCACATGCAAAGCAATCAAATAAAAAGAATATATAACCCCACTTCTGTCTTCTTTTTTCTTTAGATTTCAATTAAATCCACCATCTTTACTTTTTCTTAAAATAAATTTTATTAAAAAAAATATAGTCGTTGTGTGGATTCAGTGTCGGTCCAAGTCTTTCGAGTGAAAAAACGAAAAAGGAATCCAATATTGTATAGAACATGGAACACCCATCAATCAATCTCCTTCGAGATAAAACTTCCAATTAATTGTACAAGCTATGAATTTCATTTCATGATCAGAATATACTTGTGATGGGAACTGGGAAACGAGGATTAAATTCGTTAAGAGGATTCTAGGATAAGATTAGTAGCCTCAGCCGCAGAGAGTGTGTGGTTGTGTTCGCCTTCGTAGGTCACTACCAACATAGATGGATCATCCAAAGCCCTCTCGACATGCTTCCTCGCTGGACACCCTCTCACGCTGCTGCACTTGTAATAGCCCCTGCAATTAACCATTCCAAAACTCACTATCCGAAATTGACTTCACAACACAACATAAAAATATAAACTTGAGATCACACAGATATCATTTCTAAATTAGTCCATACGAGATTCAGTTCAGTATCACAAAAAATAAAACATGGGTCCATTTTGAAATTCAAGGGTCAAGGAGTATCTAGCATATACAAGGATAAAATTATGGGTTCCTGAGTTGTGTATAATTTTGAAATTGAAATCAAAACTAGATATGAAGGTGCTTATGTTAAGCTAAGTACCTTGGATGAGGAGATCCTTTAATGGGTTTCTGTCCGTATTTTCTCCAAGAATAATCATCCGGTGGAATATCAGCCATCTTCAAACTTATTGCTGGTACCCTCACCACTCTCTTCAACCTCATTTTTCTACTGCAGCAGAAAAAACCCAAAACAGAATACATAAGAACCAGATATAATTTTTTTAAAAAGAAAAATCGTTTTTTTTTTAAGTAGGGATGAGAAAAAATAGATTTTGAAGAAAGACCCATGAAACATATACCCACCTCTTCTTAGAACAATGGCAGCGGCCAGAGGAACTGCCACACTTGGCAGAACCCAAATTCTCAGAGCTACACTTTCTCTTCAACGAAGAGGAAGAAAGAGGAGGCTTTCCCGCGGAGGAGACCTGCGAGAGATTGGTGATCTGAAAACCCGTTGGCGGTGGGGCGGGCACCGGCGCCGACGAGCAGGGATGCTTAGTGTCGGTGTCTCCGGTGAGGGAGGAGACGAAGGAGTTGGAGTAGGAGAAATTAATGGTCTTGGAAGAGTCCTTTCTCTCAATTTTGGGGTCGGCGTGAAGGGTGGGAGGCGGGATCTGCTGGAGCGGCGTCGCACGGTAGACTCGGGGCTCGGACGGTGGGGGCGGCGGCGGAGGAGGCAAAGGGGCTCTTCTGAAGCGCGCGTGGCCGGTCCGGGTCCGGCCGAGAAGCGAAATGACCTTCTTGAACTTGGAGACAGCGACGTCAGCGACAGCCCTGTAGTCGTCGGTTTGAATTTCCATGGATGAGTTTGATGTGTGATATTGTTGTTGTTGTTGTTGTTGGGTTTGTGAGAGCAACCTTATGAGCTTCTCGACGCTCTCTAACCCCGATGCTGCTTCCCGAACGGCATTCTCCTCGGCGAAGGTGTCGTTGTTCCTAAAGGCCATGATGAGCTCGACGGCCATGGGTGCATGAAAGAGAGAGAAAGGGGAAAGGGAGGAAAGGGGGTGTATTTGATAAAGAGAAAGAGGGTCATAGACATGGACATACACATAGACATAGACATAGGGTACCCTGGTCAAATGATGCCAAAGAAAATAATAAATAAATAAAAAAGATGATAGTGGCTGGTTTGGTCCACTAGGTGACTGCAGTGTCACGCTAGCAAAGCTACCCTTGTTCCTGTTACCGTCAAAATGTAGGTGAGATTGCATGTAAGATCTAACGCTGGACAGGGTATTTTGGTCTCTGCCACCGGACAATTCTTTTTTCTTTTTTTTTTCCGATGAGAAAAAGAAAGTGGGGCGATATTGACTTTTTCTCCATCGTGGGTCCCGAGGGAGGCTTATTAGTTATTATTGATCTGAGCCACGTTGGGGGTTTTAAATCAGGTCAAAGCTACTGTTGTAGCCGTTGGATGTAATTGAATTGTGTGATTGTGATCAAAGTTTCGTTCCCACCTTCTGCTTAAGTTGACTTCCACTCACACCTTACCCTCCATAATCATTTTTTTTATACTATTCTTTTTCCCTCATTTTCTTTTGTCTCCCTCTCCTTCCTCAATCTTACGTTTTTTTATTCTCCCTGTCTCTTTCTTTCACCGCTGCTTCCTAGTTTCCAAATCCCCATTATATTTTATTTATACACATCTCGTCTCTTCATACTCTTTTTTACTTTTTCAAATTAATTTTATATGTAATCAATAAATTTTTTTTTAAAGAATATGTAATTTATTTATTAACAAGTTTTTTATGGAGAATGTCTAATCCACCCATAAAAATTAGTCGTTTAAATTTAATAAGTATTTTATATTATAATTTAATAATTTTTAAAAAAATACTAAATACATCATTAATCATCCATAAAATTAAATAAATCAACTCGATCCAATTCATTATTTTTTTTTATTATACTATGTGGATTAAATGATTTTACTTTTAGATAAATAGAATGAATATAGATAAATAAATTATTTTGACACTCATAAATAATAGTATAAAACTATTTTTGTATTAACAATGTATTACCACTAAACTTATCCACACTAACAAACAAAATTGAATTGATAAATTAAAATTTAATAATAGAATACAAAAAATTAATAAAAATTAAAGTTTTTACATTGAGCGTGAATGACAATTAAATTTTAACTTTTTAAGAGAAATATGTTATTTATTATTGATTGTACAATTTTTGTTTTATATATAACATTACTATTAAAAAATAACAATGCAAAATAATTTAAAATTATGTTTAATAGTGATACATTAATTGTGTAAAATAATTTTATATTATAAATCAATAAGATATTGCTATTAATATTGTAAAAATCTATAATTTATCATAAATAGTTGGTTATAATTGAATGTTTGTATTAAACTATTTTACATTATTAATTGATCACCTATTTTTTGTTTTAAATTGTTATCCGATCATAAATAATTGCATAATGATTTTATTAATTTTTATAATAATAATTTAAAACCATATCAATGATAAATTTTAAAATAAATAATCAAATTAATCTTTCAAATATGTCATTCTTAATTTAGTTCATGATTCTAATGAAATTTCAAAAAAAAATTAAATTGTCCTTTATTCATTTGAGTTCTTCCTTTAAATAAATCACATTTTCTTAAGTGGAGTCTACATGACATAACAATCTCATATGACATACATTTGGTACATATGTGGAGTGACATATGTCACATGTTGTAACTTAATATTATTTTAGTCTCTAAAATTTTAATTTGATATCACTTTAGTCTCAAAATATTATCATAATTTTATTTTAATAAAGTAATTAAGATTTAAATATTTTTTACAATGAAATAGATAATTAAATTATTATTATAAATATGGTAATAAATATTAAAAATTTGGTATTTAACATTGTATTTATTAGTCTTTATATATATAAATTATGAATGACTATATATTATATCCCTTCTTCTAATCGTCAATTTCTTCCCTTTTTGATGTAGATAATTTTTTAAAATAAATAAAAATAAATGATAGTTTCTAATTTCTCTATATTTATATTATATTTTTATAATTATTTTTCTTATATAAATTCTTTCTTATTTTTCTATTGTGAAAAATATCTATTATATTTATTTCTTAAGAATTATATTTGTTTTATGTCTTTGATATTCTATTTTTTATTAAACTAATATACATACATATATATATGAGGAGGGTTTCTTACAACTTAACAACATAAACATCATCATATAGCATATCAACTCAAAACATAATGAGCCATCATCATATCATCTTCATCATACAACTTAATCATCATTTATCAATCATAAAACTTAAACATCACTTTGAAATCATGCAACTCGTATCTGGTGCCATCCCCTAAGTGCTTGATGCCATTGTGCTATGGGGCTTCCTATCTCACTCACGCCCAACGCCAATCTGGTCGCGTTTAGCATGGCAAAATCCATGCTTAGCCTCAATCAAGTAAAAAACCTTTGTCTAATTTACACTCGACGCCACTTCACTAATTCCAGACGTGGGTTCAAATAGAGATGATTCTCTTTCCTTATGCTCAACGCCACCAATCATGCACTTGACATCAAGAAAATGAGAACTCGTGATTTTGAACCACATCTGACGCCATGAAAGCACGCCCATTATGATATCGGTCTTTACATTTATGCAAAAATTGATTTTCATCCAATCCACCTGAAATCTAGTCCAAAACCACATGCAACAACATATACAACATATGGGAAACATGAGAAACACAATTCCATCATCAATTACAACATGCATCCTTAACCAAAAACCATCAAATTCTACTCACACCTAACTATAAGAACTTCAACCTCTTTTCTACCCATCACATGGATTAAATCAATATTCAACTACAATTTAATGATTTAAACAACAACAATCAACATGCATCAACAATTGTTCTGAACACAAAATTTCCCTTACTTATTGTTGATTTGAAATGGGAAAAGAAGAAGAGACAAAACAAACTTCCGCACAATCCCAACTTGAGACTTCCAACTTTGGGAGCTTGAATTCTCCTACTACACAAGTGGATCAACTATAAAAAGGGAAGAGAGACGCATTCTCAATAGAAAATATATAGAAGGATAAAAAGATATGGTTTAAAGAACAACTCTTTAACTTCTCTCTAAAATTTTCTTAAAACATAAATTTATAAAATTCACGTCTTAATAAAATTTTATATATCATTTTCGAAGTTGAACCAACTTAATTATACTTAAGATTATCTCAGAAACAACATAATTCTCAAAGTCCCTTAAATCCAAAATTCTAAATCAACATTCATAACAACACAACAATATTTAATCACACAATTAAATTAAAATATCTAAAACTCACAATATTATATCATGAATATATATATTATAAATCATATTTATTCTTAAAATTACATTTATATAATACCAAAAATAATAAATATGTCATTTAATTATTTAATAGACCCACAATTTTTCCTCCTTTTTCTTTCAAAATCTCTTCACATTTGAAGACATTATTATTTTTTTAATGTGGATTTCACCAAACTTTTCTATTTTCTTTCTATTCCTCTTCTTTTTCAAACTACAAAAAAGTTCCATTGTATCTTTCACTTCTCGTACAGTTATTTTTCTTTTTTCAAAATCATCATATCCAAACAATACATTAAAATAAAAAATTATTATTAATTTTGTAAATTTAGTTATAAACAGTTTTAAAAATAGAAAAGAAATAGACGCGTTAATTAAACAAATAAAATATATAATAAATAAAAAGTCTTGTGAAGTAAAAAGAAAAAAGTGATTGCTAGAAAAAATATCTATTTAATATTTTATACAATGGTATTAAATTATTAATAAAAATTTTTTATTTATGATACACACTTCAAAATTCTCGAATTTTTGTATTCTTCTTATTCATTTTATTTTATAATACACAAATAAGAAAAATTAGTATATATATTATTTTATTTTCATAATTAATTCACTTACCAATCGTTTTTCTATCATGAAAAACTGATTTTTTTTCTTAAAACTTATAGTGCTCTTGTTTTAATTTGAAAAATTATAAAATAAAATAAATAGTTCAATTAATATTATTTATAGAAGATTAATATACTTAACTGGATATTATAATAATGATACATAATATTCATTGTTATTTAAAAATATTTAAATTATAACTACTTTATTAAAATAATATTACAATAATACAGATAAAAATGATATCGAGTTAAAAATCTAAAAATTAAAGTGTTATCGTGTTACAATTTCAATAATTAAAATAATATTATATTATATTTTCAATGATTAAAATGATATTGTGATATATTATGTAATATATATACTTATATAATACACTTGATCGTGGAACATATGTGACACTATATATTTACCATATGTATGTCATATGTATTACCGTGTCACATTGACATTATTATTTAATAAAATTTAAAATTAAAATTTATTTAATGGTGAGACTCAAATCATCCATAAATTATAATTTTGAAAACTTTTTTTAGATTTCATTAAAATAAGAGACTAATGGATTTTAATTTGGAAAACTTTTTTTAGATTTCATTTTAAAATGAGAGACTAAATTGAGAATATCAAGGATTAATTTCATCATTTATTCTAAATTTTACTTAGTTTATAGTATAAAAACTATTAAAATTACTTATCATTAATTGTGTAATTAATGTACTGAGAACCTGTTAACAAACACTTAATTTTAAAACCAATTCTATAGATCTATGGCTGATTGACTAATTTGGGGCACTTTCACAAACTATTTATGTAAATGGGGTTGTTTTGAAACTATATACACCTTTGGAGCATTTTATTATAGTGTCGCTATGGGCCATAGCAACACTATTGACACATGGATTTTTATTTTTTTGGTAACTACGATTGGCTAAATTTTAGCCAAATAGAGTCGTTATAGGCTGAAGTGATTTTTCTAAAGTCGCTATAAGCTACATTACCACATAAAAAATATAATTAATATATATTTTTTATTATTAAAAAATAAATTATATAAAGATGTTATGAGTCATAGCGACACAATGTCGCTATGAGTCATA